TTTTGTATCAGCTTCATTTAAAACGAGTTTATGAACAAGTGCTGGCATTTGGCAACAGATGGCGCCAATTATCCGAAGACACAGTAAAAGCTTTGTATGGATCAGTTTTCAGTTGATTAAAGCTCACCTTTTCATGCAGGGTGCACGTGATTAGTGAATAGCCTAAGCCTGGAACCAAGCGATTTGGCTTTCTCGCAATCCTCCAGGCGCCATAACGGGGCGACAGCCGGGTTTAGCAAGTGAATGCTGCATGCATAATCTATTACCACTATTACTGCTATTACGCAATTTGGCACAGAGCAATAGCCACACAGCAATAAACCGGAAAGCAAACATGAAGAAATATTTATATAGCCGACAATAAAATAAAATTTCGATGGGGTCTCACTTCAGTTTGATGAACTAAGTCAAAAAAAAAAAAACAAACAAAAAACCAACACAAACGATGCAATTACCATTGCGTTATGATGAATAATTTTGAATTTGAATTTGAATGCGCGCTACTATAGCTATCGATAGTCTCAACTCGACCGACCGCCACATTAAAGGACCCAGCTGTCACGATGCCACATCGATGGCTCAACCAATCGCTGTGAAGTGCACTGTTGCAGTTCGGCATACTATCGATTTATTGCTCCGATGTTTTTTTCGTACGAATTAGATGCGAATGCGAACGCAATTCAAGCTCACGTTTTTTTTTGTTTGCTTGGTGTTTACGCAGTGGTTAGGCGCAAATCTAAAGAATCGCTAGAAGACTTCATGTGCATCGCATATCGCAGTAACTAAGTCAAGGTAAGCCAACAAAAACGACGCAACGCACAAACGATGAGTTTGCAAAAAAATCAGAATCTTTTGCAACTGGACTAACAAGAGCCCAACAAAAGTTGCAATCATTATAACTATCCTGTCTCGACCCCCGTGTGAACGTACGTGCGTGTGTGTGTGTGCGTGTGTGCGTACTGCAGTGCATATAGGTATGTGTATGCGCGCAACTTTGTGCTTTTGTATATATTGCCAAAAAAAAAAACAACAACAACAAATGAAAGAAAAATGGGTTTACTGTCCCCGAGATTCCAATGCGCGCTGCTTATGGCAGTTGCGTCGCGTTGCGTTGCGTTGCGTTGCGTGGCTCGCACGACAGACAACACAAACACAAAACACAAAGGCAGACACGAAGCACAACAATGCTGCCCCTGCGAATGCGACTGCTGCGACTGCGACTGCGACTGCTGCGACCCAATATGGCAGCACCTGAACTTAAACTTAACCTCAAACAGCAGCGCTGCGGCTGTCGGAGAAGCGCGGCGCGTGCCAATGAACGTGCGTCAAAGATCCGACATCAAAACTAATAAAACAAAACCAAAATAAACAAATAAAGCCAATCACTGCGCCTCCCCATTAAGTGGCCAGAACTGGAGCAGCAACCGAACACCCCGACACGGGCCCAACAATAACAACAAGCTAAGCTTTTGTTGGATTACCGAAGTTTCTACACTCTTTCAACCTGAAGTTCTGACCGGACGAAGCTTGATTTGCAGTGCATTTCGATTGCCTAAGGTGACCCAAACAAACACTAATATACTAACGATCGTACTAAAGCTCAGCAGATAAGACTCAGCAAATGTTTTAGTATGAGCTTTGCGAACCCAGGCCGAGCTGGTCCACACTATATAATGTATATTTAAGCGTATGCAGATAATTAGCCTCAGATAATTGATTGGCTCAGGTTTGAAACCTGTTTCCGCAGTACTCTTGCTGCACTATTCGGAGCCAAGTTAAGATTCCCACTCAGTGCACCCAATGCTCCGTATCAATCGGGCGATACGAACTGAGTGAAGTAGCTGAGGCACTCGACACGATTGCTACTGTGAATGCTTAGCACAACAAAGAGGGCCAACGGCCAGGCGCTGTCAAATCGGTTTTAAATCTCTATCACAGCTCGTAATCAGTCATCAAAAACGTATCTCGTAGACAAAGCAGTAGGGAATTTTTCGAAAATTAAAATTTAGTGCGCTCTAATAGTGCTCAATGGAGAACCGCGTATGTTTTGGTGCCGGTTTAAAAGCAAACAAGAGCGACATTAAAAACAATAACAAACAAGCAAAGGAAAACCAGAGCAACAACATCAACGGCGATAATATTTCTAATAACAACAGCCAATGCACGCGGGACAACGAAACACTTGATGCACTTGGCACGAGGAATAATAAGAGTACTAGAATTTCATATTCCATATACCGCTATCTAGAGCGAACAATACGCGCCGTAGTGCTTCTAGTTGGTCGAGTCCTAGCTACAGTCTACTCCTTTTTCTTTTCAGTGCGCGCGAGGGAGGCCAGACAGCCGCTGGGTCAGTTGAAGAACGTCAACGGCAACACCTGCAGCGGCAGCATGGTTAAGAAGCGTCAGAGCGACGCACAGCAGGACGGCGGCAGCTGGTCAGACTCGGGCGAGGAGGAGATGGTGAATGGCCATGCCGCTGCCGGAAGCAATGCCCCAAATTGCCAGCACATCAAGAAGGCGGTAGATCCGACACGTTTGCGGCGTCATCTCAAATCGACTGGATTGCTCTACGATTGCCAGATGTGTCAGAAACTGAATCCGCCCAGTGAGAGTGGCAATGAATCAGCTGCATGTGAATACGACAACACACTCTGGCTGTGCCTCAAGTGCGGCACACAGCTGTGCAGCCGCGAGCGCAACAAGCACGCATTACTGCACTACCAGGTAAAAGCAATCGCACACATTTCCGATCTGCATATATGTATATAGCCGTGGTTACTTCTTGATGCATTCACTTGCAGACTCCGCATTCGGACTCGCACGCTCTGGCGTTGAACACGCGCTCATTCAAGATCTGGTGCTACGACTGCGGCAGTGAGGTGTGCGCCAACTCTCGCAAGAACTTGCTCGATTGTGTGGAACTAGTGAAGCGCCTGGCCCAGAAGCCGCTCGCCACCGTCGCCGACGTGCAGTACAAAATAATATCAACGCTGGACCAAATCAGTCCCATTGTGCCGATGACTGGGGGCAAACAGATGACCGCGACCACTGGGGGCAATCCGGCCATACCGATGCCGCCTCCAACGCCTCCATCGCCGCCGCCGTCAGCCAGCTCGACGGGCTCAGTGCCCGGCATGGCCAAGCGTGTGCTGGACAAGCGTGTCATCTGTCAGACGGCGACTGGCGTGCCGTCCACTCCATCTGTGGGCCAACCGGAGCTGGATCGATTGCCACGCGTGCGTGGTCTGACCAATTTGGGCAATACGTGCTTCTTCAATGCGGTTATGCAGTGTCTGGCTCAGACGCCATTCTTACTGGACGTACTCAAGGAACTGGCTGAGCCCGGGGAGCAGTAAGTTCCAAATGACGAAATGGAAATGCTTTAGCTAATTTTCACTCAATTTTCACGCAGATTTGTGCTGCCCGGCGGCACGTTTAACTTTAAGGACAAGGGCGACGTTGAGCTGCCCATGATAAGGGGCACACTCTCCTCGTGGGGCAATCTCACCTCCGCCCTGGCCAATGCACTGGAGGAACTGCAGTCCGGTGGCAGTGTCTTTACGCCCAGCAAACTCTTTGACAAACTGTGCGCCAAATGCCCCCAGTTTACTGGAGGGGATCAGCACGATGCGCACGAGCTGCTGCGCCAGTTGCTGGAGAGCGTGCGCTCTGAGGACTTGAAGCGCTATCAGCGCGTCATATTGCAGAACTTGGGGTACAAGGATCAGGATATTAGCAGCGTGTCGGAGGAGCTGCGCCAGAAGTGCAAGATCTATGGGAATCAGGCAGCCGATCGCATACTGCGCCCGGAGCAGGTGTTTCGCGGCTTTCTCGTCTCGACACTGACGTGTCAGGATTGCTTTAACATCTCCTCGCGACACGAGTACTTCTTGGATATATCACTGCCCGTCGCAGTGGAGAAGCCGCAGCCGCCTCAGCGTCGCAGAACTAGTCCCGAGAACTCGCCCTCGTCCACTAACCAGAGCAACAGTGTCAACCCGAAGCTCAGCAACGGCGAGTCGGAAGTGGGCGTGCCGTCGCCTCCGTTTTATCTGCACACTGATGGCCCAGAAACGCTGGGGCCATCCAAAGCACAGGTAAAGAAGGAGAAGGAGCGCGAACGCAAGGCCAAGCGCGCCGCCAAGCACCAGCGCACCAAGCAGGCCCAACGGCTCTCGCTCAAGCTGAACAACAGCGATGAGTCAAACGGCGGCGGCGGCGGCGGAGATGACGTCGATGGCGAGCAGCAGCCCGGCAGTGGTGATAGCCAGGGGCAGGCGCAGCCCACTTCTGCCGACACGGATAGTGAGAAGACACGCTCGGCTCCCTGGGGCGAGGGTCCTCGTGTCAAATCGGCTTCCCAGAGCGCAACAACATCGGAGCAATCTGACGCCGACGTTGAGGACAATCTGGTTGATGACGCAGCCGCCGGCCACAATGCCAAGTTCTACACAGACAGCAACGGCAACTCGCAGCCGGTGGGCGAGAAGCGCGACGATACGCCCGAGCACATGGACAAGGATTCGCTGGAGGAGGACGAGAATGGTGAGCAAACAATCTGAATGGGTTGGCAATGTGAATGCATACGACAGGGACGGCAAATGTTGATGTTATCTCGCTCTATTTATGTTTACAGACTCAGGCATAGCCACCAGTCCGGCACCCACTACAGCAACCAACAGCGCGGCCAGCACCACCAGCACCGCCAGCAATGGCACCAGCAGCAACAATAACAACAATGAAGCCAACAGCGGGACCGATGCGAACGCCCCAGCTGACGGCGCGGCAGCCAGCCTGGTGAGCGCCAGCTTGAGCGAGAAGGGCGCCTCTCTAATACGTCAATTCTCATCGAGGCAGCTGCAGCTGAAGATGGAGCAGCTGAAGCTGCGGGAGCAGGCCAAGAATGCGGCGCCCTCGAAGCGTGTGCGCACCCAAAGCTATTCGGACTGGAGCACTACGATTGCGCCGCGCTATCAGTGCGAGGTGGGTGAGTGCTCGGTGGCGTCGTGTCTCAACAATTTCACCGCCGTGGAGCTGATGACGGGCCAGAACAAAGTCGGCTGCGAGAGCTGCACCCGCCGCATCAACGGATCCGATCCCCAAGCCAAAACCGTAAATACAAATGCCACCAAACAGCTGCTGGTGTCCAGTCCGCCGGCTGTGCTGATCTTGCATCTGAAGAGATTCCAGTTGGGGCCGCGCTGCATTTTCCGCAAGCTGACGCGCCCGGTCAGCTACACTGTCCTGCTGGATATAGCCGCCTTCTGCGGCTCCAAAGTGAAGAACTTGCCCAACATCGATCGCAAGCAGAAGAAGCTGCTCTATGCGCTCTACGGCGTCGTGGAGCACTCTGGCGGCTTGTACGGCGGCCACTACACCGCCTATGTGAAGGTGCGCCCGAAGGTGACTCCCGATGATAAGCGCTGGAAATTCTTGCCGCACGGCAGCAAAGCTGAGCTGGATCAGGACGATGAGCAGCTAAAGAAGCTCGAGGAGCTGCTGGCCAAGGAGAAGGCCCGTGAGATGCGTATGAATGCCTTGGATGATAGCGATGATTTCACCAGCTCAAGCAGCAATGCATCCACCACAGATGATTCCACCTCTGACCTAAGCAATGGCGCTGTCGATGAGTCTGTTGCTGGTGCTGATGCTGGTGCCGACGCCGCTGCTGCTGCTGGTGCCGCTCCTGCTCCTGCTGCGGGCGTTGACGGCTCATCCGATCAGCCGGCGAGCATGGCCAACGGCGAGGAGGAAGCGGCCAATGTGAAGGCACCGCCCGGCAAATGGTATTACGTATCGGACTCGCGCGTCCAGGAAGTCAGCGAGGATGCGGCCCTCAAGGCCCAGGCGTATCTGCTGTTCTACGAACGTATCTATTAGACACTGGAGATCAGCTCCAGCGGTTCGAAACGGCCGCCCGCATCGTTCCACTAGCTTAGCATAGATATTTGGAGGTTATTTAATTCTTTTAATACTGTTCCTGATTGTTTTCATTACTATCCTTAAATTATTGCATTTGGAGCGCGAACCTCATGGCGCGACCTACAACGAAGATAATGGACTGAAAAGACATGCAGAAAGGGAAGCGGCTCACACCTAAAATGGAAAAAAAAAACAAAAAACGGCAGAGTAATGCATTTTAGATTGTTATTGGTTTTTTTTTTTTTTTTTAAATTTTTGTTTATTGAATTAATTTTTTTTCTTTTTTGTCAAAAAACTATGGATAGATCAGCAGGCGAGGTATATGCCATAGGCATGTATAATATATAAACCCAGACACAGAAACAGAAACAGACATATACATATACACAAAAGATGGACTGAAAAGACACACACACAGAGAAAGGACTCTGAACGTAGAGTGGAACTGGCACTTGAATGCATTTTATAAACAATTTCATGGATAGAACGGCAGGCAATCTATATATACATATATATAAATATATATACAGACACACACACACTCATATACACCAAAATTGATTAGTTCACGAATTGACAAAACAGATGTGTTTGATCACTCTCTCTCCGGATTTCGGCATACAAATATGATGATGATGATGATGATGATGATGATATACCTTGAATACACACACACACAACAACCAACGCAGATAATTAA